AGCCCCGGCACAGCCCGGTTCCCTCAGCCCGAGAGAGCCCCGGCACAGCCCGGTTCCCTCAGCCCGAGAGAGCCCCAGCACAGCCCGGTTCCCTCTCTCAGCCCTCCCGGAGCCTCAGCACAGCCCGGTTCTCTCTCTCAGCCCTCCCGGAGCCCCGGCCCGGCCCTCACGGCGGCCCTGCGGCGGTCGCTCGGCAACGGGGCAGCGGCGCTGGGCCGCAGCACTCGCGGCTGGGCGGGATCCCCACAAAGAGCAAAACAAATTTTTTTTTTTTTTTTTTTTTTTTTTTTTTTTTTTTTTTTTTTTTTTTTTTCTTTCTTTCTTTCTTTCTTTCTTTCTTTCTTTCTTTCTTTCTTTCTTTCTTTCTTTCTTTCTTTCTTTCAGACAGGCAATTTGGACTAAGAATAAAATGAATAAAATGACATGAATATAATCATGGGAGGATCACAAAATATTAATTCACACTGTTGGTGTTTAAATCAAACATTGACTCTCCAAACTYCAGGGCCTGTTTGGGAAAAAGCCCCACACTCCAAAGTACATTCAGAAGCAAAGCTCCCTCAATTACATAAATGCAAAAAAGAGTGCTGGCTTTCAGGGGAAGATRCTGCAATATGAATGGAATAATAAAATATTCCTTCAGCCAGAGGAAGGACTTGGCACCCCACCGAGATGATGCAGCATTGTCAGTGTGGTTTCTTCAGACTACTCCAGTGACATTGTCTGGCTGCCACTCAGACCCCCTTTTAGCAGTTTGTTTAACCCTTGGATATTTTCAACCAAACTTTGCGGGGAAGCAGATGTTTTCAAGAAACAAAGGTCACTACAAGTTTAGTGTGGACAGGGACAAGGAAGACTGAAGCATTTGCCCTGTTGGGGAGAAAGGATGCTGTGTGGGTGTGGTGGATGAGTAGGACAGGGGTAGGGTTAGAGCATCTGCCTGACTGCTCTTCTGGGGCTGTGGGGAGAGATGAGGGTGGTGTGTAGGGAAACAGGGAGCACTGCAACTCAGCAATCCTCGTGAGCACATATAGAAATGAAACAGAGTCAGAGTGGGCATTGAGAGGGCAGCACTTGCTTGGAAACSTAAATTCCTTCATTGTGCCACTCGGCAGATGACTTGTTTAATCCAATGGCTGGATTTTCAGTGCRCAGGCAATCAGCCATGTATTTTTCCTGGTTACTGACTTTAGTGGAGCACAGAGCAGAACTGGAGCACATCTGTGTTCTGAGCAGCACTTCATTAAATTGACCTGTCTGGTGGTGGTAAATTGGAATAAATGGTAAAAGGCGTTTTAATATAAGCTAAGGTCTGCCGTGCTTTGAGAAAGAGCACTGGTATGCAGTGGGAACTGTGGCTCTTTTTTTAAGCCGTATTCAGTATTGTGCCACACGTGAAAGTGGCAAGAAAGGGTTTGGATGGCCTGCCTTGGCAGCTGGAAGCTCACATCCAGGTAAGCACACAGCCCCCTTACCATAGTTTTGCYACAGAAACAAAACCAGGAACAACAAAGAGTGCTCTGCTGACAGGTGAGGGGACTGCCAAGGAACTGTCTTTGGGGAACCCAGGATGGCTTGAACCTACATCCCAAAGAAGAGGTACCACTGSGATCCAAATGCAATGACACTTTGCAGCCTATAGCCTTCGGACAAAATGCACACTGGCTGTTTCTTCTGATGCTGGATAAGAAGATGAAGTCCAGGGAGCATTTGGAGTCCTCTTTGGAAGGGGTAGAAAAGCAGAATTCCCCTCTTTATCCCAGACTGAAACGTGCCTTCAGCTCTGGCAGCTGTGCTCACCTGGGCTTGGTGAGACATGCAGGCAGCTGGCTCACCTGCAGCAGGATCTGCCAGCTTCCTGATTTCTGGCTCTCAGGGATGTGTGCTCCCTGTGGGAAGCATGTGCAGAGCTGTGAGAGCAGAAGCACGGCAGGCAGCCTGAATCACATTCCTCCAACTCGGTTTCTCAGCAGAGCACTTATTCCAGGGCTGTACTTCCCCTTGATTGATTGCCCCTGCCATTGTGGGGCTGACATCTTCCACGGGAGTCCTGCTTGTTCCCTTATCGTGGGAGCATGAGGAATGATCATTCCCCAGCGACACCCATCGATAACAGTGAATAATAGCCAGGAAGAGAGGCAGACRACAGTAGGAACATGCTCGAGAGAGGTGCTGTAATTCTTGGGACAGGGCGCTTCTGCAGAGGAGGAGGRGAGCTTGCAGGGTGGACGGGAGGGGGGGGTCCTGTCACTGTTGATGCTCTCTAGAGCTCAGCAGCTGGAGAGAAACATTGGCTAAGAATAGTCAAAGCTGGGAAGGGAAAACAGCAAGGARGGAAAAGAATGAAGTGAAAATATCAAGGAGCCACACTGGAGAGCATACAAACAGAGCTCTGATGCTTGAGGGATGAAGARAACAGACTGTGATTGACTATGTGGACCATCTGGGTGATCTTCTTCTGGATTTCAACTGTCCCGGTAGGTGCTCAGATCCATTTATTCCCATCT